GACCCCTCACACACACCCCCCGCCCACAGCAGGCGCTGCCCCCTCCCCCCGACCTGCGGCCTAGCGGGACCGGCGTTTTGAAGCCTGCCCTCCTCCAGCCCCGAGTGGCACACTCACCCTCAGCTCGGACTCGGTCCGGTAGACGCCGAGCCGCTGGAGGCCGGCCGCCAGGTCGTTGACGCAGAGCCCGCCGTCCTGGTTAACATCGAGCTGCTGGAAGAGGAGCTGCAGCCGGCGCTCCTGCTCCAGCCGAGCCGCCTGCTGCTGCTGCTGATGGCCCACAGTGTCGGCCGGCTCACACTCACACCACGGGCCGCCGGAACAACAGCAGGCAACAGGCCCTCCTTTCATCGCCGGGTGGAGACGGGGACGGATCGGTGAACGGCTGCACACGGAGCGGTGTCTGAGCGCCCGGTAACCGCTGGCGGGAAGCACTCGTGGGGCCGGCTCTCCGCTCCTGAGGTGATGGCAAACCAGGAGGGGGGGCGGGATTACCTGGAAGCCATGACGGACAGCGCCATCCACCAATGGGGTTCCGGGGGCTGCGCCTAAACAACCAATTAAAGTTAGGGAGGCGGGGTTAATCGGTGTCTGGCAGCAGCAGTCACCAATAGAGACACAGATCTCCCCGCAGTAGCCAATTAAACTGCAGGGTTGGTCGCACACCCTTTATCTGACAGCCCGGTCCATCAATAGGGCCGCGGGGGTTTCGCCCAGACAGCCAATTAAAGGGAGGGGTGGGTCGTGGGCGTGTGACGTTAGGATAGCTCCGTTCACCAAACTTCGCGGGGCAGCCAGTTACACTGAGGGAATGGGTGTTACTGTGAGGCGGGAGATACGTCTGACTGGCAGCCCCATTCACCAATAGAGCTGCGGTATTGCGCCAAAGCAACCAATTGAGAAGAATGAGTGCGGGATTGACTTGATCGACGGACACTTTTACCAATAGAAACACAGGAGTAGCCAACGAAACGTGGTGGTTAGTGGAGAGGGGATGACAGGAAGGAGATTGACTGTAATACTGGCCAATTGAATTGCGAGAAGTCCGGCGGCCGTGCCCGTTCCCCCTCATAAGGCGGGATGATCTGGCATATGCAGTGACCACCAATCCGCATTCAGAGCTCTGCCCTTTGAGCCAATAACATTCAACTAGATGGCTGCAGCTTTGAGTGATAGCAATATTTACCAATAGGATTGACGCTGCCGTGGGGCTGGTCAAACTAACCAATCGAGTGGAGGTTATCCCAATGATTGATAACCATTTCATCCAATATGCGTTGGCCAATGAAGAAGCCTTAGGCGTTCCAATATAGGAGAATTATTAGAGTGAAATAGGAGATCATTTGGCCCATCGTGTCTGTCCTCACTGTCAATGTTTATTTAAGTGCCATTCTCCCCACATGTAACCCTGTATATTATTCTTTTCCAAACCTGGCCTTAACGAGGACATTAAATTATTATTTGAAGAGAAATAATGGGTAGACTTAACGGGGAGATGTCCAGGGAACGATACCAAGCTATAATACTCATTTGGAAAGGCAGCAGATATTCACTTGGCCTCCTTCTGCTCCAGTAACCATAGGGCCATAAGAAATAGGAGCAGGAGTAGGCCATTTGGCCCCTTGAGCCTGTTCCACCAATCAATAGGATCATGGCTGATCTGACATTCCTCACGTCCACTTTCCTGCTCTTTCCCATAACCTGCTAAATCAAAATGGAGTTGGAAGGACAGATAAAGCACTCCCTATCCTGCAGTGCCCACCTCTCTTCAAAAACATCGAAAGGCTTCCATTGTATTAAACCAGGTTCAGAATCCAAATGTGGGATATAAGTACCAAACATCTACAGTGCGATTTACACCCGGATTGCTGAGAGAAAGTGAGAATGAGCCAATTGACCTGTTTAACAAAATCAAGTGTCCATGAGAACCATCCAGTGTTGTGGAATTGATTTTCTGTTTGACATTATGTATCCTGGCAACTTGGCATGAATGGAGAGAACTGTGTGGGTAGAGGAGTGGTGATCCGACTACCGTGTACAGGACAATGATACTTTATAATACTGACCCCACCTGTCATCTAGTCCATACATGCCCATGCTGGAAAGCTGTGTTTGCGATGGCCAAAACAAAGTCGTTTGCAAAGAGGTCCGAACTGTTTCCGTGCTGTATGTCTCTATGACTCTATGACTCTGCTGTCACCATCACCTGGGTGCCCAGTACGCAATCCTTTTGTTTCGAGTACCTTTTTAATGCGAGTTAAACAAAAGACAAGTCAGTTCCAAAACCACAAAGATCCACGATTCTTATCACAGTTTATACTTCTTCCCCTTATTAAAGTTTCTTCCTCTTTTGCAAACCTCTGAGCACCTTCCAGAAAACACTTTGGAAAACAAGAATGTTTGCTCTGTATTTGATAGCTGTGTTTGCGGCTCACAGCCTTTTCGGGTGCAGCATTACTCAGTCATTGCAAAGAAAGTTAAGGTGATGGTGATGTTAAAAAGTGTTGAGTGACACATTATCGCAATCTGATATATTTTGTGCAACAATTTACCAGCCTATTGTTTCTTGTGAACTCATGCGTTCAAATGGCAATGTCAAGCTGGTCAGGGTAGAGTGATGTGCAGGCACTTGATTTGAGTCTTGATTTGATTTGATTTATTATTCTCACATATACCGAGATATGGTGAAAAGTCCAGACGTCATAGAATCATGCAGCATGGAATCGACCCTTAGGTCCAAGCAACCTGTGCCGATCGTAATCCCAAACTAAACTATCCCACCTGCCTGCGCATGGCCCATACCCTTCCAAACCTTTCTTACTCATCAACCTATCTAAATGTCTTTTAAACCTTGTAACTGTACCCGCATCCACTACTTCCTCTGGAAATTCATTCCACACACAAACCACTCTCTGTGTAAAGAAAATGCCTCTCATTTCTTTTCTAAGTCTTTCTCCCCTCACCTTAAAAATATGCCCCCAAGTCTTGAAATTCCCCCACCCTAGGGAAAAGACACCTGCCATTCACTTTTTCTAAGCCCCTCAATATCTTATAAACCTCTATAAGGTCACCTTTCAAACCCCTATGGTCCAGTGAAAGAAGTCCCAGCCTATCCAGCCCCTCCCTATAACTCAAACCGTACATTCCCGGCAACATCCTCGCAAATCTCTTCTGAACCCTCTCCAGCTTAATAATATCCTTCCTATAATTGGGAGATTGTATTGTATTACATGAGCACTAACCAGACAATCATAACTTACATAAGTACATCAGGGTATTAGAACAGAAGGCAGAAATAGTGTTACAGCTACAGAGAAGGTGCAGAGAAAGATCAGCTCTAATATTTGAGAGATCATAATCATAAGTCTGATAACAATGGGGAAGAAGCTGTTCTTGAACCAGTTTTGTAGGATTCTGTAGGTGGATCCACTGAATGTTACAAACGGTTCATCTAATGGTACACATATGATGCCCTTAATCTGTGAAAGGATGAAATAAATTCCTGCTGCCAGGAGTCTCACTGAGACTAGTTCAAAAATAGAATAACATAAATAGATTAGTTGCTGAAATAATCCTCCTGTCATCACTCTGTGCCCTATTTCACTAAGCTGCCTTCTGAAATCCTACCTAGTGATACACATTATCTCCAAACTTACAGAATGAAAAGAAAAATGGACAATGTCCAGCAGGTGTGGCAGCATCAATAGAGAGACACAGAGACAGGGTTTCAGGTCAATGACCTGTCCTTGCCGGTTTGTGAGCCCAGTCCACAGCTCTGGGCCAGGAATGGTTCAGAGACACCCATTCTCTGCCCACTCCCACTGCTACCCACCCACCTGCCTCCAGCTCCACCACCCCCACCCCAACAGACCATGTGGCTAAGGGAGCGAGTACGTTGTGTTGAAAAGGTGAGGGCACTGGAGTGTCACAGGAGCCAAGCAATGGGAAATAGACTCCTCCCTAGAAATGCCAATGACGAGGCGAAAAGGTACAAAATCTCATAAAGCATAAAACCCTGACTGGATTTCTTCATAACTCCCTTACATTTATATCCCCAAGTTTGACCTTCCCTTCCAGTGGGAATGTAATCTCTATGTTGACCCTATCGCCATTTAAAGCCTACTGTTAGGTCACTCCTCGGTGTCCTTTCTAAATAAAAGTCCCACCCTATTCAGTCTTTGCTGATAATTTGAGAGCCTCTCAGTTCTAGGATCATCCTTGTCAATCAGTTTTGCACCTTCCCCAGTGCCCCTGTATTATTATACGGAGATCTAAAGTGGTGACAATATTTCAGACGTGGTCTGACCAACGTTCTTCACAAGGTTTGGTGTAACTCCTTCTCCCAATCCTATCACTCTCTTCGTCCAGCTCTGTGGTGTTCATGACAGAGGTCGTAGTTTCATATCCCGCTCCAGAGGACTGAGTGTGCCGCTCTGTTGAGGGAGTGCCACTCTCTCACAGGGTTTGTCTTTTTGGGTGAATTGACAAGCCAGGACCCTGTCTGATTTCTGGATGCAAAAGATCCCATGCCAACAAGAAGGGCAGGGGAGTTCACCTGATGTTCTGGCTGTTGTGGGTAACCTCACCTATAATTTACCTTTAATTCAGCTACTTATCAAGAAATCTCGGACAATCAAGCACTGAAACATTAATTTAAACTTTATTGTACGTAGCAACCAAAGTAAGACCCCACAAGTAAGCAAGTTAAGCCTCTCAACCCAACTTAGCTATTACCCAATTAATGGTGGAATTTAGCTAGGATTCTAATTTGAGGTGAGGCAATGACCTAGTGGTATTATCATTAGACTATTAATCCAGAGACCCAAGTAATGTTCTGGGGACCCGTGTATGAATCCTGCCATGGCAGATGGTGGAATTTGAATTCAATAAAATACCTGGTATTAAGAGTTTAACGATAACCATGAATCCATTGTTGATTGTCGGAAAAACCCGCCTGGTTCACTAATGTCCTTTAGGGAAGGAAACTGCCATCCTTACCTGGTCTGGCCTACATGTGACTCCAGACCAACAGCAATGTGGTTGATTCTGAACTGCCCTCTGGGCAATTAGGTACAGGCAATAAATGCTGCCTAGCCAGTGATGCCCTCATCCCGTGAATGAATAAAGGAAAAAAAATCTCACCATGGCAGATGATGGAATTTGAATCCAATACCAAATCTGGAATTAAAAGTCTGATGATGACCATGAATTGATTGTTGGAAAAAACCTATCTGATTCATAAATGACCTTCAGGGAAGGAAACCCATCCATTTAGGCCTACATGTAACTCCATACACACAGCAATGTGGTTGGCTCTTAAAGTGTTCTCTGGGTAAATAACCAAAGACTCCCTCATGAATGCATGAAGAAAAACAGTTTCTGTCTCTGGAGGTGTCCAGAGTTCGATCCTTGCAGTTTTATTCTTTGGATCATGAGTCCTGATGAAGGGTGTAAACCCGAAACGTCAGCTTTC